TGAATCTTTTGCGTTGATGAAAGACCAAGTTAACTTAGAAAATAAAAATAAATGAACACAATTATTTTTATCCGGGTTCACTGTTAACTAAGTTACTCCAATCCATCCCGCAAGGTGATTTGCCTTCAACAAGGACTTAATCCACTATAACCAAACTGATTACAGATAACACACAATAATTCAGACCAACCTTATTGGCACCCCCAATAAGTCAGTCGATCTTTATTGCAAATCCACTCAAACCATAACAAGAGTCTTCTTGAGATCCGATCTTCACTTGGTCTCTTAAGGAATCAATCAACAACAGTTGAATACTTTCAGTGTATTATAGTTTGATTCTTTCAAGCAAATTACACTAACGTTTCAGTACAAAGAAAAACACCTAAGTTTTTTGCAGCAAGATTCTAGCAACTACTCCTTGCCTATTTACAAAACAATATACAAAAAATTTCTCTAAAGAGTTGCACAACGCTTTGGTGTAGTTTTGCATGATCTTGATTTAATCTGATAGATTTGTGTAATGTTGATTCTTACATTTCTTCAACTTCTAAGTCTTTATTTTATAGCTTGTAAAAGTGATTCATTGAAAAGGTAGAAAGGTAATCGGAAAATAAAGTTGTTTGTTCTCAATGGTCATAATGAGAATGGTCATAGTATAGTACGAAAGGATTGTCCTTACGCCACCCTAGAGGGTAGAGGTCACATAACACTTTTTATACATTTTGTACACCATCACATGTTAACCATTTAAAACTTCTTCTTATCTTCAGAGGCTTCAAATAATTTGAATGTTTGAAGCTTGTTGTAGAAGAATCACTCTTAAGTCTTAGAACCTAAGTCTTGGAGTGAACTTGTCCTATCAAAACCTTGTCTTCAGAGTCTTCAGCACTTGGTTGTAAGAACTTGCTTTTTTTTTAAATCATCAAAACTTGTTCAGTAGAACCTTGCCTTCATAATCTTCGGAACTTGTAACACATAGAAGAAAAGCTTTAGGATGCGTCCAAAGCTTAACCATAAAGTCACGATCAAAACCTCTTGTACTAACTTTCCTAAGACCCATTGCATAAGATGATTTCCAGAATCTTGACTTTAAATGTAACATGTAACCGCGTGTTTTCATCCAGTAGTGCTTATGTTCAGAACCTGATAACATCACACGTCTTGATACCAGATCTAGAACATTACAACAACAGCTACACACTAGAACAAAACCATTAAAGTATACAATTGTTCTTTAAGATATCATGTAAAGTTATAATTAAAATCTTAACGCCAGATGTAGAAACACTTCTTGTTCTTACACCAACTTCCAACATCTCTCTCTTGGAAACTACTTCTCAATAAGGACACTTGTGCAAGTGATCAGTGTATATTGATGCACATTCTCTTATGTTTGTACTTAGGCATTTCCATGGTTTGTTTTGTTTATTTTTCTATTTTATGATGTTTTTATAATTTATTTTATTTTTACCTTTAATTAATTTTCGTATTTATTTTCAGCATTAGCAGCTTTAATGAAAAAATCATAACTGGAGCTTCGGGAATCAGATCGGCGCATTCTAATAATCATTCGAAATCTGAGAGAAAGATCTACAACTTTTATTTCGGAGTTGGAAGCTGATTCGGAGTGCATAATTCCCAGTAATTCGTTGAAGTTTCAGACGTTAGAAAATAATTTATTTCGGGTCATTTCATGGACCTGGTTAATGTTCCGACCCAGTTTGAGTTAGTAGTGAAAAACCCTATTTTGTTTATAAGGTTTTCAGATGTGCTACAAAAAATAACTTTTTTTTCACGATAGAACTTTTGCTTTGTACGAATCTTATGGAGAGCTAAATTTCCTATGAGTTGATCTGCTACATTCATGTTCTGATACTTGAGGTTAATATAATTTTGCAATTTAATTCCTATTCCTTTCAACTCTATTATATATTCATTGTTTGCTTAATCCGATTGTCATAGAATAGTTTTGTTTGGTTTGATTGACTTATATTCCATAATTTTTATTGCGTGTTATCGTTTGCTTAATTCGTTAGTTCGCTTATTTTTAATTGTTTGCTTAATCCGGTAAACAGGAAATATTATTCTTATAATATCATTCTCGCTTGTTGAATATTATGGTGATCGAATAGGAATAGTACCCGCTTAGGGCAGCGATGTTATAATAATCAATGATAGGTAGGAACCAAATTAGCATATTATCTTATTTTATAATTACTTAATTTATAATCACTTATTTTCTCTGTTTTCATAAAAAATGCTAAAACGACAAACCCCCAAAAATCGTTAATACTCTTAGTTAATAAAGACAGGAATCCTTGCGATACGACTCGAGCCATTGTCGTTAACTACATATTTTAAAACAACTCGTTTTTGATCCGCCCGCGACAGTGAATCAGCAAGTAATATTCCAAAGACTCTTTTTGTTACATTTATATAAGGAGCTAAAGATTTGAAGAAAGATAATAAGAAGCATTAGAATAACATTGAACTGGCCGTCAACCTTTTGTATATAATTATTGTTTTGCACATAGTCTTGAGATTTCTTATCTTTCTATATCTTATAAATCTCAAGTGTTAAAGTCTTTATTTGTGTTGTATTCTTTGTGCACCTTTGATTATATATAGAGTGTCTCTTGTTGTCTATTCGTCTAAATTATTCGTTTAGAAGTTTAGTGGAAGTCTCTTGCTAGGTTGCTTGAGAAAAGGAATTATCTTGCTAGATTGCTTGAGCAAGGGAAGTCTCTCTTTAGATTGATTGATCAAAGGAAATCTCAGGCTGGTTTGCTTGAGCAATTTGTAATCTGGTGGGACTAGACTATTGTCAACTATAGAGGAACCATGATAACTTTTGTATGTGCTATCATTTATTGCTTATTCACTTTATCCATTTCCGCTGCTCTCTCTCTCCAAGCTTTGACTCTAAATTTATTCAGCATCAAAAGTTGTTTTTTTAAGAAGAAAAATGAATCCACCATACACAATTCACTCCCTTCTTGTGTATTTCTTACCTTCAAACTCCTAGATAGTCTACCATCAACACAAGTGCCCCGTCTCTGGTAATCCTCCCATGATCTAAAAGTCTTCCCCTAACCGGAAGATGCAACTGACACGAGATATCGTCTAGTGCGATTGGTATCTCACCACATGGTAGATAAAATGATGACGTCTCCATGCGTCATCTCTTTACAAACGCATTAAGCATACCATAGTTAACTGTAACATCGCAAGTCTCAGAGCCCTGATAGCTACAAAACTTCTTGAAACTATGACTCATTAGGTGCTTCCAGGTGAGTAATCTTTCGCATATGGTTGATGAATTTTAGCGGAACATGTTCATGCATACATGGTTTATAAGACTGATTCCAACAAATAAAATTTAATAATAAAATAAACACAACTTCAAATGAATAATTCCAACTAAACTTTATCTCACCGCCCCAAATATGTCTGGCAATATGGTTTGGGTAAAGAGGCAGCAGTGATAATTCTGGCGGACCTCCTCCAAACCCTTAGGTGCCTCTGCTCCCCCATGGGCCTGGGATGCCTCGGGTTCCGCCTCCACTGCCCCTGGGCCTGTGATGCCTCAAGTGTCATTGATGTCTCATGGGTCTGCGATGCCTCATGTGCCTCTATTGTGTGAGGTACCACAGGTGACTCGGGTACCTCTACTGCCTCAGGTGCATGAATAAGTGAACACATTCTCCTATGGGAAGATAGAGGCAGGGATGCATAAGGAAAGGACCCTCGCCTGCTACATAAAGAGGAAGAATATGAAGATACACGAGCCCTGGAACTTGATGCCTCTACATTAATCGAGCTAGAGATGACAGGAGCCTGCGATGATTGACTTTTTCCCTTCAAACGGATGCATGTTATGCAATCTTGTTGTGTCTCAATCGGGACTGACTATCAACCATAATTCCTATAAATAAACAAGATAAACATTACACAATGAGTTTTGTACAGAAAAAGGCAAAACATTGCAAACAGACTAATTACAGAGATGTATATCTGGTTTTTGGACAAACATTGCAAAATTCTGGAGATTCATCTCCGAAAATCCCTGCAACTATAATCATTGTCAATGGCAGAATGCAACCACAAAATCATCAAAAACAATGCACCGATAGTAAAAAATACCTATCTAATTCGTTTCTAATCAGGTATAAGATATCAAACATGTAAAATCTTTTTATTTCATAGGCTAAACATCAACTTCTACACATTTATACAAAAGCTTAATAAATTTTACAAAAAACTTACAATTAGTGTCTTGAAGTTGCTTGAAGATGGATGTTTGAAGTTGATTGATGTTGTTTGATGTTGCTTGAATATGGTTTGACATATTTTGAGAAAATGGGATTTGAGAAGGTTTGATCAAATGAGTTTCTGAGTGAGTTTGAGTATTTGAGGAAGGTGAAGGGTTTTTGGCTCGTATTTGAACGGAGACCGTCTTAAGATACAACTACGTAAGTTTCATGAAGATGTATCTCCGAAATATTTGCACGTGGAGTTTGAGTCTAATTTAGATTTATACTTAATTTTGGTGCGTTCAGAGATGTATCTTCGTAAAACTTTACGAAGATATATCTCCTCTTAATTTTTTCCATTAATTTAGAAGTGTGTTGAAATTTAATGTATTTAAAGATATATCTCTGAAATCTAAAGACATAACTTTATTTTTACGCGGTGCTCTGATAATACATAGAATGCATTATAAAATTCCTTAATAATATAAGCCTCGTAGATTGATCAATTAAGAATTTTTTTCTTCATTTGCTTTTATTTTCATCTGTATTTTTTACTATAAATTTTTTTCATTGGTTAAGGTGTTCAACAAACCACACTTTAACAAAAATCAAAATCCAAGTCAAATTAAGTCTTAACACGTAATGTTTGCAAAAATTATAATAGATTTTATAATTATTGATTGTCTATGTAATATACTTATAAATACAACATAAAGAAAAAATAATAATATTTTGTGAATAATTATGTTAAATAATATATCCCTGCCTGCGCCACTGAAGATGGACCAACAATTTCTCATAGTCCGGAAGATTTTCTTTAATTAGAGGAACTTGCTTAAAGTTTTGAATCCATGCATGCAAGTAAGGAAATTTCTTTTCTTCAATTAATTTGATCCCAACCATTTCCTCCAACCCTTCTAACCAATGACTAAGACATCCATATACAATATCTACCATTCCAATATTGTTGCCTCCAAAAAACTTCTTGTCCCCTAAGCCTTGCTCTTCCATTATTGTGATAGTTTCTTGTGCTTTTTCTATTGCTTTAACCTTTTCATTTTCGTCTTTAGAGGGTCGCATAAGTAAATTGGTTATAGAAACAATCTAAAAAATAAATCAAATCAGATTAATCATTATTTCAAAATCATAAGTTATAAATCATAAGACGTTAGAGTTACAGTGTACTTACAACTTTTACGTATATATGAAACATAAAAAATAAAAATAAAAAAGATTTAGATGAAATTACCGAATCTTCTCCAAATTTAATCCAAAATCGAGCTAAGGCTCTATCGTGAAAATCTTTTGGCAGCAATGGATTATGTGGCCAAGTATCTTCAATGTATTCAAGAATAACAAGTGACTCTAGAATGGGTTTTCCTTGGTGAATAAGAACAGGCACTTTCTTGTAAATAGGATTGGATTGAAGGAGTAACTGGCTTTTGTTATGTCTATCTTGTTCTATGTATTCATAGGTTATGCCTTTGAATTTGAGAGCCCATATGACTCTATGAACAAAAGGGCTAGACCAAAATCCTAGTAGTTTCACGTCAACCATAGTTTAACATGTGTGTGCAAAGAGTATAGGTGCAAAATGGAAGTTTATAATGTGTAACGGTGATGGATTGAAATTGGAACCTTTTGTTTTTGTCGTATCACGAAATTGCATCATGTTGCTTCCTTCATCTTTCCTTTTCACATAGTTTTCTCAGCCGCCTAGAAGATGCGCCGATTGCCAAATTCTTTAAAAACTAATAACAACAACACATAAAAAATTAAACTATAAGAGTATATCTTCATTCTTTAAATAATATATTTTCATTAAAAACTAATAACAACAACACATAAAAAATTACCCATAACTTTTGTCCTATCCATATTCATATTTATCAATAAAGTAAAAATATAATGAGCTGTACATAAATAGAGATAAATTTATCAGAGTGAGTTATTTAATTATATACTACTCTATTAACACATGTCAAAGAATTTAAAATAAAAAATTTATATTAAAAATAGTATTATTTAAAATTTTAATCAATTTAATACACAAATGTTAAGAGAATATTTTTATCTAATTTAAAAAAAAAATGAAAAGTTTAGATAAATTAAACTATAAGAGCACACTGTTTACTGATTATCCATTTAGATTATCTATAAAAATAATCTTCATGTTAACATCGGAATTTGAATATACTTTGCAAGTGATGATGAATCCACTCTTATAAAGTGAGTCCATCTCTATCAACTTTAACATTTTCTTGCTTAAAAAAACTAATATTTTTCTTAATTTTCAGCTTATTGAAGAAAAGAAAAAAAGGACTGAATTCATACGGCATGCTGCTGCTAAGAACTTAAAAGGACAAGAAATTTTGCACATATAAAATCATAGAGTCCAATCATCCATCCATCTATCAATGGTAGATAATACATATCTATCGAATCAATTTTCAGAGCAAATGACTAGCTTTTCTCAGCTTAATTTATGGCCTCTCTTACGTGTTTCGGATTAGGGAAATCATTACCTTTTCCCGGTTATGAGAATAAAGGATACTCTCATTCACAAATATTTAATTGGTCACAACCCCAGCAAATATTCATTTTGGCGCACACATAAAATATTATATATCATTTAAATACTATAAAATTATATATTATTTTAATTATTTTCATTTTCTAAAATTTTCTCATATATTGTGACCAAAAATTATAGTAAATTTTCTCAAATGTTCTTACTTACTTACTTACCATCATATTGATTCTCAAAATATATAGTACTACTACACTCGTAACATATACTATAATTGTTTTTATTTGTATATGTCACTCTTATTGGCCAGTAAACATAGATAAATATAAATAATTGTATCCAATTTTTTATATGTTTTTTTTTCCTTTGCAAATACCCACATTTTCCATCCAAATCCAATATATTTAATTTTTTGAATTTCTATTTAATACAATTATAATATAAATTGTTCTGGGTCAGTCTAATAAGATAAGGTCCATTCATCCTACCTGCTTCATGCAGTCCAAAGTATAAAAATAGTTCATATATTAAGAGAAAATACACAATTTTTAGTCTCAACTCTTATTATAATTATTGTAATTGTTGTTCCTGATAAGGCATTTTTTTCCAAATATGTGTCTAGTTTACGCAGTTTTTCTGCCATTAGATATGGGGGTTTCTGATTTCTTAATTGATTGATACCTTATCATCGATGCTAATAAACAAGTGTGAGATGTTTCTATGTCCGTTTAGAATATGATCGTACCTGACCAAAAGGGATTGTCAAAGGCGCGAACTTCGAGTCGAGCAACAGTTGAAGGTGAAGTGGGGGTACCTGCAAGACACTCTGATGCCAACACTACGCCAAAAATAAGTTTTAGCAGCACATAAAAGAAAGCGCTTTTGGAAAAAAGCGCTGCTGTAGGTTTTAAAAAAAATTCGCTTAAAAAAGCGCTTTCAAAGGGTGCCTTAAGAAAGTGCTTTTCAAAAGCGCTTCTAAAGGTCACCCTTAGAAAGCGCTTTTTGGGAAGCGCTGCTAAAGTTGACCTTTCAGAGGGTACCTTAAGAAAGCGCTTTTCAAAAGCGCTGCTAAAGGTCAGCCTTAGAAAGCGCTTTTCCAAAGCGCTGCTAAAGCTGGCCTTTAGAAAGCGCTTTTAAAAGCGTTGCTATAAGATATGCTACGAAAGCGCTTTTTGATGTAAAAGCGCTGTTATAGATGACCTTTAGAAAGCGTTTTTAAAAGCGCTTTTGTAGGTAGTTTTATAATAAATATCAAAACACAACTCGTATCACTTTTCTATTCTCAGTCAGATTTTCTTCACGAAAAAACCCTAAACCAGAGTTTCTACGGCGGTCAACGGCGCTCCACTTCTCCAGCCAACTGCAATTCGTATCAGATTTCATTTTTTTTCCTCATCTCGTATGTGTTTGTCTGGTTTTCGTGTGCTTTTGTTTGGTTAATGATTTTGAGCAAGCATGGTTTCTACTGTCATAATTTCTATTTTTTCTATCTTTTCTTCTTCTATTATTTGCAGTTGTTCCACAAGTTTCCATAACTCATGCCTAATATTGGAGAAAAAGGGCGCCTTGGCATCCATCTTTGCGTCACGTATCAACCGCCAATCTACCACCCCTGCACCTTGGCATCTCTCTCAGCTCACGTTCACGTGGTCACCAAAGCAAACCACCACCACCACCTCACCTTGGTATCTTAACAGGTTTATTCTCAAACCCTAAAATGCGAATTTATGTTTGCTGTTACTTTTCTGTTTGCTGTTACAATGAGGTTTTGGTACATTCTTTTGATTTTGCAAACAAGGTGTTTGCTGAAATGTCACAATGAGTTTCAGTTTGTGATATAATTTTGCAAACAAGGTGTTTGCTAAAATGTCCCATTGAGTTTCAGTTTCTTACATTGATTGATTGTGATTTTTGATGTTGGAGTTATGTAATTGACTTGAATGAAGAAAATTAAATTGTAAAAGTGGTGTGCGGTTTTGTTAATTGATTGTTGTAGTTGTTTAGTGAATGATTAGGTTTTGATTATGTTTCTGTTACAAGTTTTTTGGTGAGTTGAGTTGAATTATGTTTGGCATTTTAGTTAGGGTTTGAACTTAACTAGCAGCATGTTTCACATGTAATTTCTAATATTTTAATTTTACTTCACACCATTGCAGATAACACTTGATTTAAATTACGGCTTCAGCTCATGTGTTATAAATTGAAGAAGTCACAATTGAAGAGTCACTTGCAGCAAACATAAACATGACGTATATGCTTGTCCTCTTTATGTTTGTTAATTATTTTATTTTGAGAATGACCAATTTATGTTGTTCTCTGGTGCTTGATTTACTGCAGCAACATTTCAGTTACGTTTCTGCAACAAGTTGTATCACTGCAAAAGTTTGTGTCAGATGCACATAAAGGTAAGCATTTATGGACTTGGATATCTTCTGCTACTACAATTTTGGTTGTTGCGTTGATTGCCTATATTGCTAAAGGTCACTGAAATGTTGTCCTATTTATTTTAGAAGATTAGTTTTTGTAATAGGATCAAGATATACCTTGATTTTTAGCTAAAATGTCTTGATCTTTATTAATGAATTACTTTTGTTTTGACATATATTCACTTTGATGTGTATGCAGTATGTCTTTTTCATTTTATATAATTGACTTATTTCAACCACTACATTGATTTCACTGTTTGTTCGTAGTTTTTTTTGTAATTTCACATGGTGGATTTTCTATTTTCCACAATTCTCCGCTGAAAATACTATTCATATGTTTACATATTGGGATATGCATCAACATTCTCTTTTGTTTTATCAGGTATGGTGGGATCTATCTAGACTATGATATCATAGTTTTGAAGCCAATTTCTTTTCTTAATAACTCTGTTGGAATAGAGGATCATGCTGTTGGAAGTTCTTTGAATGGTGTTGTGATGGCTTTTGGAAGGCAAAGGTATTGTTAGTGTGGTTCCCATCTTGCAAAGACAAAGAGGAATTGCCAAACTTCCAACAAGGGTATCCATTTTGCTTTGCATTTACACATGCAGAGAAACATATGACAGCGCTTTTCCAGGAAAAAGCGCTGCTAAAAGACCACCTATGAAAGCGTTTTTCCAGAAAAAAAGCATTGTTAAAAGCCTACCTAAGACAACGCTTTTCCAGAAAAAATCGCTGCTAAAAGAAAACTTATGAGAGCGCTTTTCCAGAAAAAAGCGCTGCCTTAGGTAGACCTATGAAAGCGCTTCTTCATAAAAAAGCGCTGCCAAAAGCCTACTTAAGAGAGCGCTTTTTAGAAAAAGTGTTGTATTAGGTAGACCTACGAAAGCGCTTTTCATTAAACAAAAAGCGCTGCTAAAACCTATAGCAACGCCACCTACGAAAGCGCTTTTAAACGATTTTAAAGGCAAAAAAAAAGCGCTTTCGTAAGTCTTTTTCAGCGTAGTGCAAAGTGAGGTTCAAAGCTAATGCAAATAAGTGAGTATGAGAGTGTGAATGAATCAATACCTGGCCCTTTCAAGTGAGAGGTTATTTATAGCCCTTAGCGATGGGCCAAGGTCTTCAATGATGAGCCCCAATGAGACCCAACAAAGAAGACTGTCAGGACTTATGTGTGTATGAAGTCCAACACGTGGCCTCTTCCCTGGTCAATTGCTTCGAGAAGACAAAAGCTGAACCCATTATTCCCGAAGAGCAGTATGATGACGATATGGACACGTGGTCAATGTCTTCCTAATGGGCACGTGGGGAAGTGTCCAACGGTTCTTAGATTGTATTGCATGCTTTTAGGCCTTTGACAAAGGCACTGGATTAGGCCTCCCCAACTGTGGGGCAAGTGCCGGCCCAGTCCAGAACATAATACAACAACTTTTCCAACATCAATGTGAAACATTAACTTATAAGGTGGATTGTCGGCCACATGATGCACAATGCCAACATTATTCTTTCAATAATACACCTGTAAAAGAATTTACATCCAACTATTAGAAATTTAATTTTGACGATCCCTAGCTTCCGCTATAAACAACTCCACATACCCCA